AAATGAAGGGAACTACAGAGGAAGTGCTTAGACTGAGACTGGGACCTGAGTTCTTCCACCTCATCGCACACCTGATATCACCTCTCTGGAACCCACCTACTCTAGGGGGGAGGTGCGGGACTGGGTTTGAGGATGGGGGCAAAATCTATACTTGACTAGGTTTTGATGACCGCAAGCTTTCACCTTGCAGATAATGGGGTGAACGGCGGTAAATTCTCACCGACAGAGAGGGCTCCCCCGGCCTTAATGAGATAATCAATACTTGTTCTCGGCTTAATTTCCATCTAATTGCTCTTTAACGACGCCGGATAATGGGCCGCCTCCTGTGAGGAGAGAGCTGGCTGGGAATCCGACCCGTCTCGGGCTCCCGCCCCTCCTCCCCCGGGCGGGGTGCCCTCGCGCAGGTGGGATGGGGTCGCATCATGCTCCCCCGCGGAGCTGGAGCTCCCTCCGCTGGTCTCCTCGCTGGGTGCTGCCACCTGCCTGTGGCGTTCTCGGCCCCCGCAGGGGGCGCTCCAAGCCTTGGATGCCGGACCCCAGCCAAGCCGCTGGGTTCAGGGCTCCAGTTCACCCACCTGATTAGGCCGCGGAACCCGCGTGGTGCCCTCGCTCCCTAACGGCGCCCCCTTCTCCCTGCTACCTGCCGGGCCAGGCACGTCGTGTCCGAGCTCCCCAGGCCGAGCTGCAGCGCTTCTGGACAAGCCCTTTCCTCTTTCCCTCTCACTTCCATGCACTGCAGGGACAGTGGTCATGAGGCCTTAGGTAAAGTGCTGTTCCTGTACTTAAGGAGGGCTCCGATCATATCTTTCCCTGTGAGGTAGCTGGGCTGCTTCCTGCAAGGGAACCTCGCTAGTCACCACAGACCACTCAAACAAGGAGGGGCAAGATGTGGAAGGCTGGGGATACCCACAGTTCAGTGGCTCACACTGACCCCAACTCAGAGAAGCACTTTGGCCTCAGGTGTCCAGATGCTGTGACCAACGAGGTTCCCCATCACCTCCCTACTTCCTGATCTTCTGCTGTCTGGGCACACACTCACCTGCATTTCTACAACTTGGCTTTTGAATATGGGGTATTTAAATTTATAAGACACCAGCTGCAGTTCTAACTCCAGCTGCACTGGAGTTAGGCGGATAAAGATACAGTGATACTGTTAGGATAATGTGATGGTTAGAATCAGGCCTTGAACATAAGCAGCTCCAGGTTCAAGTCTTGGCTCTGTTGCTTACTGGTCAGTATGACAGTGGGCAAATTTACCTCCAGGTCTGAACCTCAGTCATGTAAAGAGTAAGGTTAATAATCCTACCTTTGTGAATCTGAAACAAGCTAATGTAAGTAAATTGCTTGCCACAGTGCCTGGCACCCTGGAACCATTATTTTCTGTAGTGTTTTTTCTTGGGGGGGGGTAGGTAATTAGGTCAGAGTCAGAGATAGAAGTTTGGGAATCATTTGGACATTATGTAAAATAATGGTGGGTGGAATAAGGAATCACTGTAGGGATATCAATGGGAAGTTATCTCATTGGCTTCACAGAAAATTGTCTTCAAGTAAAAAGTCAGATGGGACTGACAAGCCTGCTGCTTTGGAGAACATCACCTATAATAATCAAATCTTCCCTTCTAAATGTGCCATAATAAAAAGTAGGCTTCAAGTGGTGAATCTGGGACTCTCCCCATGCCCTTATCAGGTAGATGCAGAGTATGAAAATGTGTGAAAGTATTTATCTTTCCTAACAACTAGCCTCCCTTCCCTTTAATGACTCTGGATAATGATTGAAAAAGCAACTTATATACTAAATAACTAGTATTATCTAGTATTATAGATTCTACTAGCTTTTCCTTTGTCATAAGTTTTAGCCTCTCATGTTCCAGAAGACCCACTTACTCACCTCATGGTTATAGAACTCTATACATGGGATAAATTTTCAGTGATACACACACACACACACACACACACACAGACACACACATAAAAACTGGTGAAATCTGAATTAAGCTCCATAGTTTAGTTAATAGTATTGTGGCAATGTCAATGTCTTGGTTCCGATAATTATACTATGATTATATAAAATAGTATCATTGGGGTAGGGTGAGTGAAGAGTACTTGGGGAACTTTCTGTACTATCTTGCAACTTCTATTCATGTCTAAAATTATTTCAAAATAAAGTTTTTTAAAAATCTAAGGGAAGAAATCCTGGTCATCATAGAATCTAAGGCTCTAAAATATTTATGTAATGGCTAAAACTAAAAAGACCAACATTACCAAGTGTTGGCAAGGATGTGGCACAATGGGAACTCTCATAAATTGCTGGTGACTATGTAAATTGATACAGTCACATTGGAAAAATGGTTTGGCAGTAACTATTGTTGAACATATGCATATCACATGAAGCAGCAATTCCTTTCCTGGGTGTATCCTAATTTATATAAATTTCAAAACCAAGTAAAATTGGCATACAGGATTAGAAGTGGTTATCTAGGGGGAAAGGGAGGGATTAATGATTGGGAGGGGGCATGATAGGGGCTTCTGGAGGTGTTAACAATGCTGTATTTCTTGGCCTGGATGATGACCACATGAGTGTTCATTTTGTAATAATTAATCAAACTCCACATCTATTTCGTGCATTTTTCTCCTTGTCTTCCTTATACTTCAAAATGGAAAAAGGAAGTTAAAAACAAAGAGAACAGAAATGTAGAAAGAGTCTTAATGATTTAAACATCTTTTCTAAGCTTATCAATATAAAATGTGGTCGTCAGGTCAGATGGAGTTATGGTTTCCATCTCAAAGGTAGATGAGAAACTGGGAGTTTAGGGGGGAATTGCCTCCTGTGATATAAGAAAAGTAAACAAGAAAATTTTCACCTGATTTTTTTCTACATATATTAAAGCTCATTCAGCTTGCCTTAATGCCTTGGTATTACAGAGAACTAGTCTTCCGGATATTCCAGATTTCATTTGGTAACATTTTTTGTAGCTAAATTATAATGCTTATCCCCCCTCCTGGCTGTCCCAACTTTCTACATTTATCTCAACATCTTAATTTACTTATAAAAATAGCTTCTACTTTTTTTATTATGAAAAACAATTTTACAAAAAAAGGAATAGTGAACATTACGCTCAACCATTTGCCTCATTCCAGATTCTCTTACGGTGTTTACTGATGATATATATGATAAATATTTACACAGCTGTGATCAGTATCCATATACTTCTCCTTTTCACTTAACCTTATTTTCCTACACATATTTTTCATTTTGACTGAGTTCACCTATTTGTCATAGTAGGTAGCTGCAAGGTATTCCTCTTAATTACCTATGATGAGCCCTTTTTTGACTTAACTGATTCTAATGCTCACAGGAAGCACAATTCCTCTATACCCATCTCTAATGGGTCAGTCCAGATCATTTGTTTCACTTCTGCTTCCTCCTTAAAGTTGCAGCCATATTACTTTCACCAGATGTGTCAAACCAGGGTTCAAGAAGTGACAGGTTAGAATGGATGGGTCCTTCCAAGATGTTTCTTACCAAGTTAATGGTCCTTTATGATTTGTTTCATCTTATGTTGTTCATTTGTCTAGGACCCATTTCATTCTATCATTATATTTAACAATTATTTCATGGGTTAGTGGCTGAAAGAAAGTGAAGTTACGGTAACCTGTGAACTCCAAGCTATGTATGATTCACAGTGGAAAGCAAACTACATTCTATACCTCATTCCTTCTTCAGTACAGGCATCTACAGGAAAGAGTGAGAAGGGGAAAGAGGCAGGTTTAACTGATCTTCAACAAATTTTAACTTCACCCTCCTCCTCTGAATTTAGTCTCCCTCATGTTGATGCAAAGGATGCTGCCACCTGGCTTGTCTCCTTGCAGTACTCACATCATCTGAATTAAGAGGTTCCTTTTCCCATGGTCCACCAGTTTTGCACGATCTGGTCAAATCGAGTCAACATTTTCAAACTATAAATATGCAAAAATTTTGGCTACTTCTTTACTATTTATGTGACTAGATTATTACTGAATGTGTTTTGGAGCCTTAATGGATAAGTGTCAGATGATGAGTATCTTGGGAAGTATTGAGACTTTAAAATTATATTATGCCAAAAATCCCTTCTAACAGTATTTTTACAATATGTAGAGTTTTCTTGGAACAAATCTCTACTTAAATATCTCTTGTATAGTCAACATCTTTGGTGCCCACTGTATACAAGGTCATGTTTGAGTCTCCAACCGCCTGACCACCAGAGGGCGCCGGTTCCCTGTCTATCCAGCCTTTGTCAGCGACTCCGAAAATCCAGGTAAACTTGACTTTCACACTTAGGAAAAGTCTTTCACATTTAATCCACAAATATTTATCAAGAATTTACTGTGCCTCTAGGAGTGGGGCTAAGTTCACAAGATACAGTGGTGAGTTAGGCACAATTCCTAATACCAGACACTAAGAGCATAGCAAAGACTGAAAGTAAACAATCGGCTACAGTAAAGTGGGGTAAATGAAGAGTTTATAGATCTGTGGAGTTTGTTATTTAAATATTGGCTCTTGGTTTTAGGAGCCGGTAACAATTCATTAAGCGGTCCCGGCTTGCTTCCGCTCTGTATCCCGGACTTCGATCTCCTCCCTCAAGGTATTTTGTAAGAAAGAGCCAGACTTCTTGTGTTGCTCCATTAGGCAGCTCCGCAACTTCAAGTACCACCCCCACCTCCCACCCAAACCTTTTTTTTTTCCCCAGGGCTTTCTGCCGTTATCTTACTGTTCCCTTCTGCCCGGGGTCGACACTTCAGTTGCCCCCGGGACCTAGTTAGGGGCATTACCCACAACTGTCAGCCACACCTGGCTCCGCCCATTCTTTTTCCGGTTTAAAACCCGCGGGCTTTTCCTGTTCTGAATTCCTAGACTTCCTGTTTGATTCTCGCGACAGTTGCGAGACTTCGCGTGAAGTTTGCTTCTCTTCTCTCTTTCGCGTTTTAGAGACCAGGTGACTGTGTGCGTGCCAGTGCCCATCTTAGCAGAGCTCGTCTGTTCAGGAGTGACGTGTAGGCGGCTAGGGAACCCCTAAGTAAAAGGGCTTGGCCGAGTTCGGGTCCGGAGGGAGAGTCACTGACCGCTTCCGAGAGCTGGATTCCCGGACCCCCAGTGCGCATGCGGAGCCGATCCCCCAGGGCGGGCCCGAGGCTGAGGCCCGGCCCCAAACTTCGAGGTTGCTTCAGAGAACCATAATCAAGCTGCGCCTCCCGGGGCCAGGTTCTTATAGACCGAGCGTGACCAAATGTTGTCCCCTCCCTGGGTGCAAAGCTCAGTTTTTGCCCCCTACAAATTGGATTGCAGCGTGGCTTCCGTAAGCCGCTTGGAGCAGGCCGGGACGGGGCCTGGCAGACCACCGGTAATGCAGGCGGACCTCCAGGAATGTTCTCCTCCCCGCCCCCAGCCCAAAGTGCCACGGTGGCGCTGGTGGCCGTCGCGAGATCGAATGTCTCCGGCCCTGCCAGCTTCACAACCACAACCTGTAATTCTGACTCGGAGCGAGGCCGGCTGGGGAGGCGCCCCGCCCACCTCTCCCTGTGGCTGCTAGTCGGCTCAGACCTCTAATCACCCCCCTCCTAAACGGGTTGAAGCACCTGCCGGATGTGGGGAGGGAGGAGGAGGAGGCCACATGTGAGGAGGCAGATGTAAGTGCCGAGACAATGGTCGGCGCCTTGGTGGGGAAGCGGAATGGACAAACCTGCAATCGCCCCTGGGAAGCCGGCCCTGGGATGTGGGGAGATGATGATGGTTGGCCTTGCCCTCCAGGAGCACTCAACTTGGCACCCGAGCACCTACCTGCCGCCCGTTATGCAGCTGCTCTAGCGGGTGGGACTGTAGAGTCAGATGGGACTGGGCCTAGCCTTTCAGTCAACTCTTGAAGCTTCCCAGCCACCCCCGAATCCCCATCCCTACTCCTAACCCTCACTCCACCCTGTCTCTAGTCCTTTCCAACTTGGGTGTCCGGTTACTGCTCTTCTGTTCTTACTGTGACTTTGGCCCAGGCTAGGGGGAAATGGCTCAGGAGGGTCCCGTGCGGCTGCATAAAATTGGCAGCTTCAGAAACAGGGAGGAGGTGGGGTGTGAGACGTCGAGGGGCGGGGAGAGGAGGCGGAGGAGCTGCTCTCTGAGTGCAAGTCCGTGGACTCTCAGAGATCCTCAGGTCGGAGCAGAGGTGGCCAGCAGGCCCACCAGATTTCTTTCCACTGCCTGCTTTTTCGGACTGGAGTCACAGCTGTTCTGAAGGGCTTAGTCCCGGACAATAGGTGAGCTCTCTGGGCCCCAAGCCATCACCCCCCCACACACACACACACAAACACCTTATTCCCTTTCTACCCTTATTAACAACTCCTTACTTCTCCTGAGGCCACCATCCCCATCTGCCTGTAGGTCAGGAAGCTTCAGAGTTGGATGGTGGTTGGTTGTGGGGTGTGTGTGTGTGTCTGAACTTTTATCACCCCCTCCTCTCCCCTCTCTCCAAACTCCAAGACCAGCCCAATCAGTTACCACCCAGCATAACTGGATGACCCCTAGAGGTCACTTTGCGTCTCTGTTGAGGGTCTACTTGACTCCCAGGTAGCAGGGGAGGGGGCAGTGCTTGGGTCAAACTTGGTACGAGGAACAGTGATGTTGCTTCTGACCTCCTGATCTGGCTTCCCTCCCCGGCAGGGTGCCACGCACGCGCTGATACCCCGAGTGCTCGCAGGGCTTCCAGCTAATCATGCCACAGCCGCCCGCAGCTGCCTTGGTGCTGCCCCTGCTGCTGCTACTGATGGTAGTGCAGACGCCGCCCCTGGCGGGCGCGCGGGCGTCCCCGGGCCCTGATTACCTGCGACGCGGCTGGCTGCGGCTGCTGGCGGAGGGCGAGGGCTGCGCTCCCTGCCGGCCAGAAGAGTGTGCCGCGCCGCGGGGCTGCCTGGCCGGCCGGGTGCGCGATGCGTGCGGCTGCTGTTGGGAATGCGCCAACCTCGAGGGCCAGCTCTGCGACCTGGACCCCAGCGCCCACTTCTACGGGCGCTGCGGCGAGCAGCTTGAGTGCCGGTTGGACGCAGGCGGCGACCTGAGCCGCGGAGAGGTGCCGGAGCCTCTGTGCGCCTGCCGTTCGCAGCGCCCGCTCTGCGGTTCGGACGGCCGCACCTACGCGCAGATCTGCCGCCTGCAGGAGGCGGCCCGCTCTCGACCGGACGCCAACCTCACCGTGGCGCACCCAGGGCCCTGCGAATCGGGTACGCATGGCCCGGGGCCCTGACTGCCGGCACTTGGGGTTCACCAAGGCATTGCTCCCCGACCCCCAGCTGCACTGGTCTTTGGCCAGCGGAGCGGGAAAAGATCAGGCCAGGATATCTGCTGTCAGGGTTGGTATACAAGGGCCACCACCTGAAGGTGCGAGTCCTAAGCCTTGTCGATAAACTTCGTGCTCTGAGGCGCGTGAAAGCTCTAGACCCGGTTGGCAGAGACCAACTCTCTGAGGGAGCAGGCGCATAGCTGACGCTTGGCTTCAAAACTGATTGAGTGAAGAGATTCTCAGACTTTGCCCAGACCGCTGGAATCCAGGCAGGGAGACGGGTTCCTGTGAGATGCAATCAGGTTTCGTTTGGGCAGCGGCTTCATAGGGCAAGTAGAGCAAGAGCCTAGTTAATCCAGTCTCCCCACCTCTCTCCGTGCCCCCCACCTTCTTCTGCGTTTAGGGATTAATGAAGGAAGGGGCTCTTCTAGCTCCCCTCCCTCCCTCATCCCAGGGGGTTGAGGGCCACTGAAGTTTCAACTTTTCTTTGGCAGCTTTAGTAGCTTTCACTTCCTGAGCCCCTTTGGGGGGTCTGGCTTGCTGGAGTTGAGAGGAAAACAAACACCCTGCAGGGGTCCCGAAACTTTCCCCCACAGCTAGGCTTTCTGCCCACCGCCCAGATTGGTTTCAGGGTCTCTGCCTTGGCCACGTGATCCCCACTGAGGATGGGGTGGGGAAAGTGCTGCTCTTCAGGCCTTTGGCAACTGGACTTGGTTGGAGAAAGGGGAGGATGGAGTGGGAGAGGGAGGTGTTGATTACAAGTACAGCAGGATAGAGGCCTAGAGGGTGGAATGAGGACAGGGGAGCAATCAGGGGCAGAGTGTGGCTGTCAAGCTGAAGTGTGAGTCTCAATGCTTGTTTGTGCATCTTATCTACCTGTACATTTCCATCTCTGCATTCCTACCCTTGTGTGTACCTGCATCTCTTTATATATATCTGTGTATATGTGCCTTGTCCTGTTTATAGATGTTTATTCACCTCCATATATATTATGTTCCTTCACAAACATGTTCACAATGGTTTGTCTATGGGGCCTTGCTGGGCTGGATATGTCATCCTGTTCTCAGGCCTCCCACCTCCATCCCCAGAGCCCCAGATAGTGTTGCACCCATATGACATTTGGAATGTGACGGGGCAGGATGTGATCTTTGGCTGTGAGGTGTTTGCCTATCCCATGGCCTCCATCGAGTGGAGAAAGGATGGCTTGGACATTCAGCTGCCAGGGGATGACCCCCACATCTCTGTGCAGGTAGGGGCAGAGAGCAGAGGCCTCCCCGGGGCAGCCCAAGACCCCCCCTAGAAGCATGCTGCTCACTCCTCCTCTGGCTCCAGTTTAGGGGTGGACCCCAGAGGTTTGAGGTGACGGGCTGGCTGCAGATTCAGGCTGTGCGTCCCAGTGATCAGGGCACCTACCGCTGCCTGGCCCACAATGCCCTAGGCCAGGTGGAGGCCTCAGCTAGCCTGACAGTGCTCACACCAGGTAAGTGGGAGCCCTGAGCTCTGGGGGCTGGGGGAATGCTAATGGATTTGGGGCCTTGAATGTGCATCCATGTGTGTGTGTACATGTGGGTGCACACACAAGCATGGCTTTCCCATAGACTGGGATACATAGGCACTCACAGCCCTGATTTCCTGTTCTCTCTCCTTTGTCCACGTGTGTTTGCAGAACAGCTGAACTCCACAGGCATCCCCCAGCTGTCATCCCTGCACCTGGTTCCTGAGGAGGAGGCTGAGAGTGAAGAGGGCGAAGATTACTACTAGGTCCGGAACCCTGGCCCTTGGGGGTGGGTGAGTGGGGATAGTTTTCATCCCTGCTCTTGAAAAAAAAACTAGAATAGGGGAGCAGAGCCCCTTCACTGATTACTTTAATGCCCTGAAGCAGGGAAGATGTGGCAGTGGGTGGGAGGGACCAAAGTTGGAGGAGGGTAATGAGAGAAGCTAAGACTAGGGGAGGTGGGATGCAGAGGGGCCCATGCAGGAGATGCTCTGGCCAGGACAGTCTCCTGAGTAGATCAGCCAGGAGGAAGGCAACAGCTGCCTGCTGGTCTTTAGCCGGGTGGGGGTTGGGGGGAGCAGAGCAGACACAAAGGGGTGCAGACACCAGGATCCTCCACTTCTTTCTGGCAGCATTTGCTCCAGCCCTGCTCAGCCAGTCTTTTGCTCTTCTTCACAGATCCTGCTGTTATTTTCCTAGTCGCCAATCTTTGTCTAACCTCAGCTAACCCTTCCTCAAAACTCACCTTGAGATTTTCTCTTTCCTAAGTCCAAATTGTACTTACTAACTATGGTCCTCTTTACTGTTTGCCATCTGCTGTCCAGAAGAGCACGATGGAGCATGATTTAGTTCAGTGCAGTAAGATGGACATTTGGTCATGCCTAATTTCTCGTGTCCTTTTAGAAACTCCATGAGGGCAGCACCATATCTTATACTACTCTGTATTGTACGATGCCTAGCACAGGACTAGGCACAGTAGGCACACAATAAAGATTTATGAACAAGCTGAGATGCAGATGGTTCATGCAGATTTGCACATGAAGACTGCATTTTTCTGGGAGGCCTCCCAGGGTAGTAGGACTCTGGCTTCCAGAAGCGTGTCTCTAAGCACATGCCTGCCAGATGTAGAGGAAGCTTACACTGGGGCCTGGCCCACCCTCTAGTGTGGAAGGCTGGAGCCATCTGGTTGGAGGGAGGGTAACCTCCTGGTCTACACTCCACTGGGGCGGGTCTAAAGATAGATTGCCTGCCCCTCCTGTCCCCTCCCCAGGCAGAGTGAGGAACCAGGTCTATGTGGGTAGGACCCAGATTGAAAGCATAAACTGGAAGGAGGGAGAAGTTCAGTCACATGTATGGGCTGCACCCTAGATTCCCCTACCAACACACCCATTTTCCCGCTGAACCCAGACAAAGTCATAGTAAGCTTGTTTCCTTATCTGTCCCAACTGTGCCATGCCCTACCTGGCTGGAGGTCCCTCATGGAGACGTGCTCTTTCGCTCCGGAAATCTCTCTCCACACTCTCCTTACCTAGCCCAGGAACACTGATGAGACACAGGTTTATTGACTGATTGAAAGAGAAAATGAAAGCTTAAGTTTGTGAAGCCAAGACCCTGTATGTGAATGTCATTGGCCTCCTACGCGCCTGGGCTCCGCCCAGAGCCTGGCGCCACAACAGGAGAAGTCACATTTGGCTCAGTGTCTGAGCTTGTCTTCTGGGGCCCAAAGCAGGGAGCTCGGCCTCTTGGGAGGGGCGTGGTCCGGAGCCCCAACACAAGGGCTTGGACGTCTCTCCTGCGGAACCCTGGGGCTCCCCCTGGGATAAGGTAGAGGACAGCTTTCAGTGCCAAGTCCTAGCTGGAGTCTGGCGTCTCCAGGAGCTGGGTTCAACAGCTTGAGCGGGTTGGATACTTGGGATGAATCCTAAGTCGACCGAGAAAGTAGAAATAGGGATGTGAGCGGTGTGGCATGGGTAGGGAGGTTGTGCTGTTCAGCGTCTGGACCAGAAAGAGGTCTGCTCCGCGCCGAAAGAGGGGATGAGGCTGTGGGTACCGTGGGCAGCAAGGGTGTCGTCCCTGGTTTATTCTTCGCCGGCGACTACCGCCCAGCTGGGCTCCAAAGGCGCCCCCTGGCGGGCTTATCGATCCTACCGCCCCCACCTGCAGAGCAGAGGCTCCACTCGATCCTAGAGGGTCACACGCGTCTCTCAGAACCCGTACTCTTCAATCGCTTTTCCAGCTTTGTAGGGTGTTCAGGTGCAGCCTCCTCATAGCCCCAGTTTCCCCCTCTGCAGCCCTGCTGGTTCAGGCCCCACAGCCTGGAATAGGAGGAACCCCTGCTGTGCCATCCCCCGCCCCGCCCCACATCCCTCCTCTGCTCTAGCAGACGGACTTTAATAACATCTCTGGAAAGTGACACGCGATTTATTATTAAAGTAATGCGGGGACGAGAAAGGTTTAATAAACGCGCTGCGATGCCGAGGATTATTCACCGCAAATAAATGAGAACGCGGGCGGCGTTTTAATAAATAATTTCCTACCGCTCCCGGGGGAGGAGAGGGGAGAGGGAGGGGGAAGCCAAGCCTCTGCCAGAACTCCCGACTTTGCCTCTCCATAGGTTTCCAAGTCTTCCTCGGGTTTTTCGTCCTGGGTTGTTCACACCCGACCAGGTCTGGAGGCGGAAGAGGCTCTGTCTCATCCTACTTCCATCTCGGGGTTTTAAGATGAGCCAATGTGCTTCCTTTCGGCTCTAAACCAGAGGTCCGGAGCAAGACCGAATGGGGCAAGAAGAACTAACTGCGACCAGCCCTTCCCAGGCCGAGGGTACTAAACCCTAGCCAGGGCCTGGTCATTCTCCTCTTCACTTTTGGCTCACCTAGGCTGGGCCCAGGGCAGGATGTGGGGAGTACACCGAAGGGGGCTGTGTGTACAGGTGCGTAGATGCCACATGTGTTCAAATGATTCTGACTCCAACTCCCTCCTCGGGCTGTCTGGGGGAATAGGGCCACCGAATCTGGTTGCTCGTTACTATGAAGGCTCCAAAGGTCCTTGAGCCATGCTGGTCTGAACTGAGGGAGTCCAGGTGAAGCCCATCCCCTGGCTGGATGGTGAACCAGAGTGGATTGAAGGGCTGAGCAGAACTGGAATCCCAAGGAGATTCTGCTTCCCTAACAGAAGTCTGGAGGCCCAAGAGGATGAACCTGATTTCAGACAGGGCCGAGATTGCAGACTTTGGGGACCAAGGACTAGTCCACTGTGCTCATGGATAGCAGCAGGAGGGTAAGAGCCTGGGGGTACATCGGCTCCCCGAGTTTTATACCTTGGCAGAGGGAGACAACATCTCTGGCAACTCTTGGGAGCAGAGGAAGTAGTGAAAGAGTGCCATCTGGTGGATATTTCTGGTTGTGGCAGCCAGACGTGGGTCAGGGACCTTGAGACAGATAAAGTGACTGGAAAACTGAGTAAAAATGTGCTTGGATTTGTATTCATTTATGTATGTGAAGGTGCACATGTATATGTTGTACATATGTGATATCTGTGATATCTATATGCTCATAGTAATGTGTGTGTCTACATGCACTGTGAATGACATGATGTATACCTGTATGTGTGTACATCACAATATATATAATGTGTGTGGATTATCTCAATGTATATATACATATGTAGAGAACCATGTAGGTGCATATTTTTGTGTACATAAGCACTGTATATATGGATGTGTTGTTATATGTGTATATAGCTGTGTGTGTACATTTATTTGCAAGTAGCTATTTCATTATGTGCCGTTCTTTCAACAAATATTTCTTATGTGCCAACACTGTTGTAGGGGCTGGAAATACATCACAGAAAAACACATTATCCTTGCCCTCATGGTGCCTACACTCTATTCTAAGATGTGCATGTGAATTAATTATATTCATGTATATTTACAGGATTATGTGTGTATAGATGTGTAACTCTGTTTATGTATGTATGTGTGAGGCTTAATATTCTGGCAGGCTTGGGGATTCCCTGTTTTTTTTGCTTAAAAGCTCAGGTCCTGTCACCTAGGACTGTAAGTGTGTAGGCAGCTGCAGACAGAGGGAAAGAGGCTGGAGACATAGGCCAATTACCTCCTAGGATATGTTTTGGTTATTTCCCCAGCCCTCTGAATGACTAGGTCTTTCTAAATAGGGAACAGCTATGTAAATCCACTTAGAATGATGGAATGTTAAAGAAGATCAAGTCTCATCTCTCTGCTCAAAGCAAAGCACCTTAGGAGGGAGGATGATGTGCTGGGGATGGGCTGAAATAGAGTCTAGGGGGCTGGGAGTAGGAACAGGTTCTTGGAGGGCAGCGATGGGGACATTTAGACACTGTAAGGGATCCAGTCAGGGAGGCCGTGATGGATGCTGTGGGACTCAGTTGCAGATAATGGGGGTGGTTTGAGAACTCATGGGGTAGGGATGAGCTGGTGAATAGAGAAGGGGCCTGAGGGAAGTAATGAGGTCAGGATCAAGGATGGAGTCGGGGGTGCAGATGTAGAGGCTCTGGTGGCAGGGTGACAGATCTTGGCACAGAATTTGGAGGCCAGCTCAGATGGAGTCATCCCTCCCTTTCTCCCACCCCTCCCTTCCCGGTTCTGGGCCCCTAGTGTTCTTCTGTAGTCCTCTCTCCTCAAGCTGGGTCCCAAGTATGCTGGGGGCAGAGGAGAAGAGGTTAGGCTCCAGAGCTTGGCCTGGCTTAGGTGATGCACTGGTGGGGGAGGTGAGGCAGAGCTCATAGCACCACTGTCCCATGAAGCCTCGTCCCAGCTACTGGGTCACTGCCTGCCCAGCTGCCATCACCAGCTTCCAGTTCAGGCTCAGCCCAGAAGATTCAAACAACGGTGACCTGGAAAAGGTCACAGAACATCCTCTCCCCTCACCACACACACATTCCTGGGACTGACTTGGGAAAGGTGCTTCTGAATTATCCCTTCCTTCCCTCCTTTTGCTAGATGTTTTCCCTACACAGTCAAGGCCAGAAGGCTTCAGGTGCCATCCTCACTCTTGGTCTGTCCCCTTCCTTCTCAACCTCCTGTGCTGGACTGCTTGATCCTAAAATCAGGGTTTCAGTCCCTTCATTGCCTCTCCTCCCCTCCTTCAGTCCCTCTTTTCTTCCCAGGATTGAGATCTTAGGTCCCTGGGCTGTGACCTCACTGGTTGGGGGTATGGGGAATGGTTGCAGACACAGGTAAATTCCTGGCCTGGATTTATTTTCAATATTTTCTCTGCCATGTTGGCAACTGAAAGCTTTCTGAACACAGTGAACAGTTACAAAAATCAGTTTTGGTGACAAATGTTACCCCCAAATCAAGTTTCACCCTTACTCCTTGGTAGGCAGTGCACGATGGGAGGCAGGATGGACTTGAGGGTACTGAAATGGGGTCTAGTGTCCCCTGGGAGAAAAGACAGAGTCTCTATGAGAAGTGATGAGGCCTCCCAGGGTGAGAGTTGAGAGCTCCAGGGACAATTGCCTCCTGCCTCCCGCCAGCCTCCCACCCTTACCCCAGATCACTGGAGCAGGGCCAGAGAAGGTCCTACAGGCCTTCTGGACTTATTTGGCCCTCACAGGGACCCAGGTTCTAACTCTGGTTTCCCATGCCCGCTGTGTGAACTGGTCAGAAAGGGTTAAATTCTGGAGGCAGTAGTGGGTATCTCTAGAGGAAGTGGTCTTCTGAAGATGAAGGTCTTTGGGAGCAGAACTGGGGCTCTGAGGTCAAAACTAGGCTGGCGAGGGGACATGAAGTTTTGTGGCACTGCTTTCTAAGTAGATACCTTGGGAGAATTTCTAAGCTTCACTTCTGCTGTGTCCTCCTCTCCAAAATAGTGATGAAACTTCCTCTTTAAGGGTTGTTATGAGATTAGAGATCTTATGAGATGTGTCTGAAATACAGTAAGTATTCAACAAATGGTCAGTTTTACTCTCACTATTTCTGGGTGGGTGAGCTGCATGGAAATGGGGCAGGGTACCTCGCAGAGGG